ACCATCACCATCGACGACTACGAGCTGGAGGTCGTGAATCAGTTCACGTATCTGGGGTCTACGATCAGCAACAACCTCTCCCTTGATACAGAGATCGACAAGAGGATAGGAAAACCAGCCTTCACACTCACCCGCCTCACCACACGAGTGTGGGAGAATCCCAAACTCTCCGTCAAGACAAAGCCTGCGTCATTAGCACACGATTCTATGGGAGTGAGACGTGGACAACATACGCCCAGCAGGAAAAGAGACTGAATTCCTTCCACCTGCGCTGCATTCGCCACATCCTGGACATATCCTGGCAGGACAAAGTGCCCAACACAGAAGTTCTGTCCCGCGCCGGCCTTCCCTCCATGTTCACTCTACTCAGACAGCGCAGGCTGCGCTGGCTGGGCCAGGTTCACCGTATGGAGGATAGCAGAATCCCCAAATACTTAACTGGCGACTGGCAGGAGAGACGTTGGCCGCCCACAGCTGCACTTTAGAGACGTCTGCAAGGGAGACATGAAGGCCCTGGAAATCAACACAGAGCGCTGGGAGGACCTTGCAACGGACCACTCCAAGTGGAGAGGCCCATTCAACCTGGCAATTGCATGGTCCAAAGTTAAACTCAGAGCAAGACCAGCACCTGCAATCAACTACACCCATTTCCACACGAGATATACACCCTAGCAAGTCCCCATCAACACCATGGCAACCACAGGTGCAGCTCCCGTCGCCACCTCAAACCCGGCAGGACAACGCCATGGAACTCCAGGAACCAGCAGTCAATAAAGACAACTTCCATCAAAGGTTTTCAGATGTTCTAGAGGTACGGTGTAATTGCAAATCACACAAGATTAAAGATTTAGACTCCGACAAATTTATGGTCGAAGGGAGATTAAGACAGCACGCACAATTTGGGTGTGATATTTGTTCATCTGAAATGGTTATGTCTGTGATTACAAACAGTTACACTATACCTTTTCTGTTAAACCATCCCCATGTATTTTCGAAATAATAATTGAGCAATAAAGGGAAAAGATTTTGCCACAGAATCCGTTATAGAATTGTTTTCATCGCAAAGAATCTTACATTGTGAGCCCTTTGTCTGTAGTGTATCAAGCGTCTGGAAAGAAGCGGTTGATTTTAGATTTAAGTAAGCTTAAAAACATTTGTTCAGAAAGCTCACTTCAAACTTGACGACTGGAAGGTAGCCTTGCAATTTCTTTCGCAGGATTCTCTAATGTTCTCCTTTGACCTTAGGTCCGGTTATCATCATATTGAAATTTCAGCTGATAGTCAGATGTTTTTAAGCTTTTCGTGGGAAATCGAAGGTCAGTCCAGATTCTTTGAATTTACTGTACCTCCATTCGGTCTGTCTTCCGCTCCATTCCTTTTTACCAAATTGCTAAAGCTATTGGTTACTCATTGGAGGACAGCTGGAATACGTATAGCCCTAAATTTAGACGATGGATTCATTGTTGTCCCCAGTACTAAAACCAACACCAAGCACGACTTTGATTTTGCAAAGGAAATTTCTGATCATGTCAGAATTGATCTTTTAAGAGCTGGTTTCATTTACAACAAGGAGAAAAGTCAGTGGAACCCATCTTACTGTATTAACTGACTAGGTATGACTTGGAATACCCAGGCAGGCACTATAAAAATTCTCCAAAGACGTGTAGATAAGATTAAGACGACAATAAACTGAAATTGAACAGTCTGTCGCCCTAACCATAAGAAAAGTGCACTCCTTCCTAGGTCAGTTTATATCGTTGAGCCCAGTGTATGGAAATATAACCAGGCTTTATGACCAGACATTGTCAGATCCTAATAGCAAATTCAGCAGACGAAAGTTCTCTGGTCAGACTAGACGTTCATTGCCTTGCCGAAGTCAATTTTTGGAAAGATAACACCATGAAGCTCAATGTTCGTAAAATTTTTGCACAAAGAAAAGTCAACAAAATTGCCTGTTGTGACGCCAGTGCAACCGGTTCAGGAGCCATAATATGTAACGATGTTCGCACTACTCATAAACTATGGACAGAGTCTGAAGCTAAGAACAGTTCCACTTGGAGGGAACTTTAAAAATACCATTGAATTTGCGCTAAGATCTTTTCTGCCCATTGTTTCCCACCCCTATAGCTATTCACTGACAGCCAAACAGCAGCAAGGATTGTAGAAATAGGCAGTATGAATAATAATCTACAAGACCTAACCATTAATATTTTCAACCTTTGTGTTCAAAACAAAATAAGTCTGGAAGTGCAATGGATTCCTAGATGCAAAAATGACCAAGCAGCCTTGTAAGTAGATTGACTGTGATGATTGGATGATATCAAAACAGACGTTTTAAAAACTTAGTGAAATGTTCTCAGTACATTGTTTTGCCAACTACAACAACAAACGACTTCCCGGTTTTCTCTAGGTTGTGGAATCCTGGAACTTCGGTCGTAGATGCCTTTGCACAGAACTGGTCGGATGAAAACTTTTTGTTAGTGCCACCTGTAGTCTTAATTCCTAGTGTGCTCGATCATATTCAAATGTGTACAGCTAAAGGAGCACTCGTCTTTCCTTGGTGGCTGTCCTCTGCTTTTTGGCCTATCCTGTGGTCTAGTTTCACACCTTGGATTAAAGGAATTATGACCATGGATGGCTCCATTGCCTTGGTTCAAGGAAGAAATAAAAATTCCTTACTTGGGTCCCCGCAAATTAATGGTACAGTCTGTGCAGTATACATAGGTTGTCAATAAGATTGAACACATCATTATTTTTCTTGTTTTTCTTTGTCATTAGATAATTTACTCTCAGCCTTTTTGGTTAAACTTTCCTGGCAGTCTTGAGGAAGTGAAGGAACCAATCTTCAACGAAGCTATTTTAGCTGAAGCTCATGGTACCATATATAGTTATTTGTACAACTGTAGAAAATTTTTCGAATGGTTAAAAGAACTAAAAGTTGAAATAAGACTCCATATTAAGGCTGAATTCATTGCTGCTTATCTTCTTCACAAAAAAACCTCAGCCAAGTCCGATAGTGTTATAACTACTGCCGCCGCTGCCATAGAATGGATTCATTCTTTAGTAAATGCAAATCCCAACCAGGTTGATTCGCCTATAGTTCAGCAGATTATTATTAGCAGTAGACGTCAACTCCACAACCCCCCCCCCTGCAAAAGAACCCATTTCTCTTGAGACCGTTAAAAGAGTTTTAGATAGATTTGGCAGTCCAGAAAAAAACTTGTTTGACCTCGGAACAGCTTGTTACGTGGCAACAAAGTTTTCCTTGCTTTTCAGACACGAGGAAATGGTACAACTAAAACCTAGTCACATTTCTCAATTGCCGGAAAGAAATGGGTTGTCGGTTTTTATTCCCAGATCTAAAGTGACATTTTTAGAGAAGGCTCAACTGCGATTATTGCTGACACCAACAATGAATACTCTCCGGTTTCCATTTTGAAGTTGTACTTGCTAAAACTGAATGTGACACTAAAATGGGGGATGATGTTATTAATATACGTTGGGTACGGGCAAACCGTTATATATAACATTAGCAATGCTTGTTATTTACCGTCCTGAAATTATGCACACGCGGGACGCGTTTTGGATGCGATATCCAATCTAGTCTTTATAATGGAGTTCAATGAGTGTAACCCCATGCACGCACATTATTTTTTCCAGGACTTGTGACGAACGCCCTCTATTGGCCTTAGTAATCACCAGCCATTTTTAGAAACAGTCAGGCAAGACGGCACGATACGCGTGCGACGGCAAGACGGGACAGCACGACGCGACATCATCAAGAAACAACACAACGCGATGGCACGACGCAGCAGCAAGACGGCACAACACAATGTATTAAACACAGCTTAAAAGTAATGAGAAAAGAGGCGACGCCATGACGCGACGGAGCTGTCGTAGCGTCGCGCTGTGGTGTCGGGGCGACGGGACGACGTGACGCAATTTTGGCGGCTATAGAACATCATACTAAATTATGCTGCGTATAATGCATAACGTCGTGCCGTCGTGGCGTTGCGTCGTCGCGACGGCACGACGCGACGGCACGACGGCGTCGCGTCGTTGCGTCATGTCCTGCTGTCTTTCCGTCGCGTCGTACTGTCGCGTCGTGGCGTCGCGCCATCGATCGCGTAGTCTAGTTGCCGCGACGTCGCCTTGGCAGGGCTAAAGAGGCAGAGATGTTTGTCATAAATAGTTCACCACACTAGAGAGAGGCAGAAATGTGTGTCGTAAATAGTACACCATACTATTTTAATATCGGCGTCTATGCATTGGGTTTGAATGCAACGAACGGAGCGCGTCGGCAATATGATCATGAAGTGATTTACCCTGCATACAATTCTCTCAGTGACAATAAAGGCAAAAAAATAATCCTATTACCGGTAATGTATTAACTGGCATTTTAAATTTTAAGGGAGTAGACTGTTTTTTTTGTTGTTATGAGCAGACTTAGAGCCTAAAGTGTTAAGAACATCGGTTCGAACATCCATGACATCGGTTGACCCTAGTGCCCATGTATGAAGGATGGTATGATGTATTTGTTCCACGTTTGTGGGGACCATTTATCCTTTCTAGTTGTACACAATCTTACATGTTGGGGGCAATGTGGTGAAGGCTTATTTCTCCCATACATTGACAATTGCCAGTAGGCCTAGTAATATGCTACAACTGTTTGTACATGATACTATGATGTAGGCCTACATGTAGATTAGCCCCACAGTAGGGCTTTGGATGGCTGTCTTTTGAAATCTGTCTCTTTTCTGTCGCCGTCACAGCCCTACTTCAAGGCATGACTTTGATGCCTGAAAATCCTGTGACAATCCTGCAGTTTGGATTTCACTGAAATCCAATTTGCAGGATTGTCACAAACTTTGAATCCTAATAATACTATCTTCCGAAATAAGAATGACTTAACAATTTTACTCACACCAGCATATTCCTCAGAGTTTGGCTTTTTATATGAGGACTCTACTTAGATGAAGTAAAAAAAATGTTTTTTGTCTGGATTTTTGAAAAAAAGGAGGGAGCGGAGCTTTTGATTTTTAATTTTTTCAAGATAGCAGCAATTTTAAAATTTCCTGCAACCGTTAGTGTTTCCACTGTTCAAAGACATGTTAAAAAAATGAAAGATAAGTTGGACAAAAGAACTGAACATATTTAAATCAATTGTTGTTTAGTGTTGTATTACTATTGGTCTACAATGAAGAGTTCTAGATGCATTTGCTTTAACTGCCAAAGTCAAGATTCATATTTGATGAGTAATTTTATAGATAAAATCAAGCACCAAATGTTAACTCTCAAAAACCTACAAGTGTCATGAATGTAGATGCGCCAAGCTATGAATAAAAATGTGCTTGTATTTTTCCATAAACATATATAGATTGAGTAAAAAATATTTGAGGCGATGTTATTTCTTTACATTTTGTCGGTTTACTTTTGCAAGTCTATATTTTGTCTACTAGGCCTACAAAGACTTTACCTTTTGCCAGTTTTGGACTGGTGACATACAATGTATCCATCACTGTTTGACAAAAGTTTATTGACCCGTGCTTTGATGAAAGCAAATAAACAAGATTCAGTCAGGCTTATGATGATCATGCATGCATGCATGAGTGACAGAAAACACTGGCCGCGCTAGACTGTTTCCCGCCCCCTCCCCTGTAAATCTGAATGCATTGATGAAAATGGGATCGGGGAACCAGACTCTGGCCGCACGGGCGAATTCTTTAAACACGTGCTCGAGCCTGAGCTCAGGGCATTTTTTACATGAGTGGATTAGGTTTAGTCGTTGGCTTCGCTGATCACGGCCAAACTGCATGTGAGGCTCACTGGATCCAGTGAAACCGAAGACCAAGCCTAACACATTCATTTCAACACGTCATTAAGTCCCATACCGGTCACATTCTGGCTACGAAGTACATACAAAATTCAAATTCAATTGACATTTATTCCAATAGTGCATATATAAGGCATTCATGTTGTATGCGTGTTTACAATTTATGAAGGATAAAGAAAATAATACAAAGTTTAACTTGAAACTCGAAGAAAAGAAACCCTCCATGTACACCCACACATCCGTATGCATCTGCAGGCTCATGCACTCGCTGAATATCCGTCGCTGCTTCTCTTTTACTTGGCATGTTGTGTACTCATCTGTTTTGAGCCATTCTGACCGAGGCGTCTCAACTCTGATGAAAAATTCTGATCTTCAAGAAACTCAAAGACTATTTTGATCGTCGTTTCAATGCTTTGCCAACTGCCGGTACCAATTCCTCTTCTATCAAGGAACTTAAAAATACATGTAAGCTAGACACTAAGTATTTCAGCAGACCAGGCAACATCGCACAGTTTGAATTTTGCAGCACTTGGGAGATCCTCTAGGACAAAGCTAAGCTCGCCCTGATGGAAAGAGCAGATCCTGATTCAGCCTTTCATGCCTTGGATGAGGCCCAAGAACTCATTGTGGATTGCAAGTGCTAGATCCGTATTACTGACGGTAGTAAGGCAGATTGGGCAATGATCTCTCATTTGAATAAGAAGGTAATGAGAACCTGGGCGTATCTTCAGATCAATGGAAGGGCATCAAAATTGCAGAAGAAGCTCGAAAGGAACAACAGGACTGCAAGTGCAAGAAACAAAGATCTTTCTCTTCCCAAAGATCTTTCTGATCATTGTCTTTTTGGAGGTACGCTCACCTGTATACTTTGTTGTCTTCAATGTGCATTTGTAATGCATGCAGGCCCTTATTCCCATGTTGTCTCAATAAAATGACTGAAATACAATTCTATTCTCTTGTCTCCTTTTCGAGTCGAGGTAAACACAAAACTGTTTTTAATGCATATGAGCACAGCGAAGGAGCATGAAAATTTGGTTTTGTTTGCTACATAGACCAAATTCCTCACATTTCTGTTCTCCCTACCTTTGTGCTTTTACCTTTTGTTGAGCACTGGACCATTACTATATACGTGTATGTGCATGTCACTGTACACGTCTTTACTTCAGGCTCATGCACTCGCTGAATATCCGTGGCTGTTTCTCTTTTACTTGGTATGTTGTATAATTCCCCCCTCCCCCCATGCACAATTCTGCTTTGTCTGGTATTCTTTTTTCTTACTGGCATGTAGAGCTTTAACTACTTCAACCACAGCAACCAAGGCTATTGGTCCAGATTCTGTCCACTCAAGTACTGCAGTGCTACATGCTACAAAGGGGGATCCAGATTCAGATATCAACCCTTTGCTACAGCCAGCAGAGACATCCCATGTCAATTTGCACTGCCCCTTCACTCCTTCCATCGCCACCGCAGCCTCGAAGCTTGGCAAAGAATCTCAAGGATCATCCAAGTCCTAGCTCTCTTGCTGACAAATTTTCCAACATAATACAGGTACATGTACATTGTGATGGCTATCCTGATTTAAATTCAGGTACTGTCAACATCAAAGGTAGACTCAAGTTTAGTGCACCTAATATGACTCTGTCCATCATAAGGGATGGTCTCGTATGCTTTAGCTCTTCACAATTTGTCACAGTCGGTTGTGGAACTCCTGGCTTCCAATAAAATTATTCAGACAGGTGCTCCCTCATATATCACTAGCCTTCTTTCAGCGGTTTGTCAAGCCTCAAATTAAACACATCTGGTTCTAGATTTGAGTCAGTTGAATAAATTTATATCAAAATATTTCAAATTTGAAGATTTGAAAATTGCTTTGCAATATTGGAGCTAAATGCTCTATTATTTTCATTCAATCTCAAATCCGGCTATCATTATGTTGATATTCATCCTCAATTCCAAAATTATTTAGTCTTTTCTTGGATTATAGGTGGCATACAGAAGTTTTTTAAGTTCACAGTTTTGCCGTTTGGACGAAATGCTGCTTCTCTAGTTTTCACAAAATTAATGAAGCCCCTAGTCCCTCATTGGCATACATGTGGCATCTTCATTGTTGTATTTGGATGATGGCATAGTTTTCTAGTTGTCCCTTGCTCCAATCTTTCCTCTTCTGAGCATTTAAAAGTAGCTGCCGACATATCTCTTTATGTTAAAGCAGATCTCTTGAAAGCTGGTTTCATCTATAACATTAACAGAAGTACATGTAAATGGAACCCTTCCTCATCCATTAATTGGTTAGATATGTCTTTGGAATTGGGATGCCAATTGTGAAATGCTTAAGGATTGGGTTTTGGATCGACCTGTTGACAAACTTCAATCCGCTATTGTTTCATTACAATTACCCTCCTATTGTCTGCTTAGGAAGTTACATTCTGTAGTTGAACAAATTATTTCATTATCTCCTGTAGTTGGTAATGTAAGTAGATTAATGTCCAGAAATTGTCAAATCACCATAGTGGTAGCTAAAGATGAGGATAAGCTCATCAGACTTGATAAGTCTGGTCTATGGGAGCTTGAATTCTGGCATAAGAATTTAAACCATCGTTTTCTTTTTCTCTCCCCAATATAAACAAATAATCTGTTCAGAAGCCAGTTCTTCTCACTTTGGGAGGGGTTATGCAATGATGGTCATGTGATTCATAAAAACCTTTGCACAGATGACAAATCTAAAAGTTCAACTTCGTGAGAATTGGAAACAGTGTTATTTATTTATGTTACATTCTTTTTTGCCATTGATTGTGAAATCCCATGTCAAAGTTTTCACAGATAATCAAGCGGCCTCTAAAATAATTGAAGTTGGAAGCATGAAATTCCATCTCCAGTCTTTGGCTTTGGATATTTTTGATTTTGCTTCGCAAACCAAGTCTATCTCGAAATTGAATGGATTCCCTGCTCTCTACAAACAAGCTGATTTTGTAAGCAAATTATTGTTGTTGATGATGTTGATCTTGATGATTGGGGTCTTTCATCTGATCAGTTTTTCAAATCCATTACAGACAAGTGGGGTCCCTTAACTGTCTACTGTCATCATAATGCCAAATTGCCTTGTTTCTTTTCCACATTTTGGAATCCAGGGCTGAAGCTGTTGATGCTTTTGCGCAAGACTGGTCTGCTGAAAATGTTTTATTAGTTCCTCCGCTTTCCTTAATTCCACAGGTTCTTTTTCATTTAACGTTCTTGCAGTGGAACCGGTGTTCTGGTTTTTCCTTGGTGGCCGTCCAGCCCCTTTTGGCCTTTATTATGGACAACCTTCAGGCCCTTCATAGTAGACCTGATTACATTGCCTGGAAATTTTGCCCTAATTCATGGAAGAAATGAAAATTCTTTGTTTGGTTCACCTGAATTCGAGAGTCTTGTGGGCACCATCAAAATTCAACTTTTTCAGTGTATAGTATCCAGTAATGCTATTATTTGTTTTTACACAGATCATTCTCCAGCAACCTTATTGGCTAAAATTTCCACCTGCAATTTCCAGCCATAAGGAGCAGTTGTTGTACGAGGCTATTGCTTCCATGTCGGAGGGCACATGTACATGTAATTCATGTTTTTACAAGTGTTGATGTTTTATAAAGTGGTTGTTTGAGAATAACTTGTGTCCTTTGTTTCCAATAAGGGAAGATGTTTTGGCAGTTTATTTTTCTGAAATCAAGTCCAGGTCCAATTCTGATGGTGTCAACAATCAAGTGGCTTCACTCCTTAATGAATGTTTACACCAATCCTGTAGAGTCTTCTATTGTTCAACAAATGCTGTGTAGTTTCAGAAAAGATCTTCACCAGCCTCCAGCTCAAAAGGTTCCTTTAACTTTGAAGCAACTTAAGAAAATATTGGACATCTTTGCCAAAGACGATTGTTCTCTGAGGCAGCTTCGAACTGCATGTTATGTGTGTATAAAGTATGTATGTTGTATTGTTAAGACACAGTGAAATTGCTGAAATGAAATGCAATCATTACGGCTCTACCCAACGGGAAAGGTTTTAAGATTTGTATCCCCAACTCAAAAACCGATATATTCAGGCAAGGTAATATGTCATTTATTTCTGTTTTCTCAAGAAAATTATTTGTCAGTTTGTATTTGCTAAGATTCTTTCACAGATCTGGTATATGTATTGGGGACAACAAGCTTATTTTTAGCCCCCTTACATTTTGCTCTTCCACTAAATCTTCCAAGCGTACTCAGAATAAACCACTAACGTACATTAGGTGCAGAGAATTATTTGTAGATGCTCTCAAATCAATTAACATTACAGATGCTAGTGATTACGGTCTTCACAGTTTAAGATCAGGAGGAGCCACTTGACTTGCTCTAAGCAATGTCCTCGAATATTTAATCATGTAATAAGATCATTGGAAAACAAAAATGGCTAAGAATTGATATGTTGATGTGGATTTAGGCTTGCGTCTTATGGTTGCCAAAGCTGTATAATTTATGTTACCTTTGTGAGTTTTCTGCAGTACATGTGTAAATTGTACAGAACGTAATTTGACAAATTAATAAGATTGCTTTTGAGGCAAATGGCGGACTGCAGCCTGTAAGCTTTTTAATTGTTAACTAAGGCTAGAGTTTAGCCATGATGTTGTGAAGCCACCGAGGCTGTTGAAGGGCTATCATGGCTTTGGCTAGCAGTATTTTTGTACAAGTGGGTGATTTTGTTGCTATTAAATGTATTTTGGATATTCAGATTGTAATGCATGCAGGTCCCTATTCCCATGCTGTCTCAATAAAATGACTGAAATGCTATTCTATTCTTGTCTCCTCCTTTTAGAGTCAGTGTAAAGCACGAAACTGTTTTTCATGCGTATCAGCATAGCGAAGGAGCATGAAAGTACAAGTATCTTAATGCGGTAATTGAGAGGATAAGGAAGCCCTCAACCTTAAAGAAGCTGGAGTATTTGGAACTTATTACTTTGCCATGTCTTATTTTATTAATGCTTTATCTGTAACTCTATGTCCATTTTTCTCTTCCTACAGTCCTAGCTCTGTTCTGCAAGTATGGGCTACACAATCTGGGCATTGTTTGTTGTTGTGCGGATCCTGCTTTGCTTATGGCCCATGAATGGTTACATCCATCCTGATGAGTTCTTTCAAAACACGGAACCATTGGCAGGTAAGTTAAATGATCCTGCTACCAAACATACACTTACATGTGTATGAGGGATGGTCCCAACAAATCTGATAGCCAGTCCCACAGGTTGTGCATTCAATAGAAAAACATTTTATAAGTAGGTAGTTGGGGGGCAATCACCTACATGTACATGTATATTAGAAAAAAGGTAACTACATGTAAATGTCTGTGCAGGGTTAAGAATTAAGGTCCTATGAACGGAGGGTGAAAACTGTCTAAGATGATCAAGAACAAAACCATGCCAGGGGGTAGGGATTGTTGGGCATCATGGACAAAACTGTTCTTTGCAGGAATTCATTTATAAGTTTCATACATGTACATGTATGTACCGTATGTATTCCGATATGTATACATTATACATTCTTTCCACTTGTGCTTTGAAGTTAGTACAACATTTTGGTTTAAGCTAATTATATTTCACAGTTTGGAAGAGTATTTTACTGCATAAATGAAATATGAATTACTGTACTTACCAATTACATGTACCTGTAATATGAGGTTTCTAATAAATTTTGTACATGAATATACATGTACCATTCAAAGTAGTTTCTACTATGAGGATGGTTGTCATTGCATCAAACATTTTCCAAGAACATTTTGATTATAAATCCTTCAAGTATTAGTCTGCAGGCAAATAATTACACCCATTCCTGTGCTGAGACCAATAATTTCCTGGGTGTCCTATTTCTTATTTGCAGGTGATATAATTGGACTGAACGTCGTGCGTACCTGGGATTTTAACTCCACAAGACCCATACGAAGTGTCTTCTTTCCTTATATCACAAGTGGACTAACGATGAAGGTACTGCAGTATGCTGATGCTGTAGGGATTATGCCCCTGAGTCCATACACACTGCTGGTCTTCCCACGTCTGATGATGGCCATGCTTTCTCTCCTGTGCATCGATTACCCTATCTACACAATCTGCAAGTTACTTGAAATGAAAGCAGAAATCTGTCTTACTATCTTTGCCAGCTCTTATGTGACTTTGGTGTACTACACAAGAACCTTCTCCAACTCCTATGAAACAATGGCATTTTCTCTTTTGCTGTTACTTGTAGTGGATTCCAGGTTAGACCAGTTCAAATCAACCCCCTCCAAAAATACAGAAGGCAGGCCAAATCATGCATTCTGGATAGGTGTTTTCATTGTTGAAGCAACTTTTAACAGAGTGACGTTTCCCTGTTTTGCTTTGATTCCTTTTATATTTTGGTTAACTGGGTCAGCATTTGAGTTTGGAGTACATGCAATACGTGAAGTTACCAGCAACTGTCTTGCATTGTTGCCAGGATGTTTGACTATGTTAGTCTCAAATGTCTTAATAGATTCAATATACTATGGTACTTTAGACTCAGCAGTGTTGACCAATCCACAGCTCCTTTACAGAAGTTTAAATTTTGATCTGTTGTTTAAAAATGTGACAGTTACTCCACTCAATTGCTTATTGTATAACCTTGATATGCATAACCTAGCCAGGCATGGTTTCAATTCGAGAATCACTCATGCATTATTCAATCTTCCAATGTTATGCCTACCACTTGTCATATGTTTTGTATCTGAGGTTTTTTCGTTAGTCAGAGGGAGATTTCAGACAACATCCACTGGTTTTGCAGGATCCAGTAGCCGTGCATTCTTTGCCCTTTGCTTTGTGACTCCTCTTTTTCTTGTGTCTATAGTGCCACACCATGAGCCAAGATTCATTGTCCCATTATTGGTGCCACTTGTCTTGCTGTATGCAGAATTTGTTATGTCCGGTGCTTTCATTCCCAATGTCCCATGGATTATTTGGAATGTACTTGGCTGTATAATGTTTGGATTTGTCCATCAAGGAGGTGTTATTCCAAGTATTATGCACACACACAGTTTAGTGTCACAACCAGCTCAGACACCAATACAATATCACTTTGTGTATTATCACACGTACATGCCTCCCCGACACCTGGCCCTGTATAATCAGTCTGTCTCATCTGTCTTGTCAGTGAACAAACCCACACTCAAACCAGGTGAGTTGTCAAACACAATGACTATTCATGATCTTATGGGAGCTGATAGACTTGTCCTTAGCTCTACGGTTAATAATCTTCTTAGTTCCAAGCACACTCCAGTTCCTAGACTTTTCAAAAAAGAAGTCTATGTGTTTGCACCAGCATCTCTGGACCCTGTATTCTGTCGTCTTGGAGTGAAACACAACTTCAAATTAGTGAAAAGTTTTTTCCCTCATATTAGTATGGAAGACTTGCCAGAGTTCATGCCAGCTTACACTTGTGTTGCAGAACCACACAGAAGCTTTCGTAATCAAAAAAGTCTGCAAAAGTGGCAGACAATGTTCTCATTGAACATGTACAAAGCAGAAATGGTTCAAATTGTTCCACACATCGAAGACCCAGTGATGTGATTGACAGGGCAAAGCATGCTGAACATAAGTCAACTACACAATTCAAGCACAGGCGAATTCGTATAGTTAATTCTTTGGATCTGTACTTTCAAGAAATTGCTATCAGATTATTTGATCTTTTAATTCACATTCAGTACATGTAGTTACACGTACAAAAATTGTATGTGCAGGGTTGTGCAGGTGTGGCATACATAGTGTGGACCTCTGTACAAAAGAAGTCCACACAATGTAGGGTATGATGGCGTGTGAAACTGTGTGAATGTGTGTCAGAAATAAGAATAGAGTGAATGTGGTTATGTCATCAAGTTAAAAGTTGAGTAGACCATAGACCTTTTCACTAATGACTTCATAATTATGCACGCATGCGCACAAATGGCCTTGGCTGACCACAAGTTGTTCTTTGCCATCCATGCAGTAAATGCACCTGGCAGCTGCATGCCAATCTCCATATAAGAAGAGTGTTTATGACTTCTGGCAAGAAGCACGTTTGTGTACATGTACCTCAGCACAGCTAGAGGGATGTTTGAAATTATGAAATGTATGAAAAGTTTTGTCTTTCTGACACAAAAAACCCTGATTGTCTACCGTAGTCTTAAATGAAGTTTAAGACCCGCTAAGCACACATTTATTCCTTTAGTCTAAAGCTTTTAAGCAATTTTGTTGTTTCAAACAGAAAAATGTACAAAATGATGGGTGGTCCATTGTCCATTAAAAAATTTCCAAACTTCTGGTACTGTAAAGTATCAAGGTTGTATTGGCCATTTTGGTGTACAGTGTACACTTATACATTTCTGAATAACTTATTAATAGTTACCATTCAGCCTTGGCTATAATTCGAAACTGTCAGGTTGCCCTCATGTGGAAGTTTAAAAAGTTAGTCTTGCATCCATGTGTACATCATTTTTTGGGGTTGTGTTGCCATGCGGTGTGTTTTAAATGTGAAAAGTTCTACAGAAGTGTGGCCTTACATGATTCTTAATATAGTCCTTTATGGGAGAAGGTGAACACCTGATTTATTTTATTGCCCAAAAGTCTGATTTTCAGGAAATTTTTGTTTGAGTTTGTTTGCTAGTTTTTAAAAATCATGCAGTTAAAGAACTGAACTTGGAAGTAAGTTAACTTTGTTATGGGTAATTCTGTGACAAACTTACATACTGGAAGGGATTTCCACTGTAAGTTTGATTTCTAAAAACATTAGATGATAGGCCTGGAAATGAGTACTAGTTTGATGTTAATATTGCTGTGCAGATCATTGTACAGAGCATTTATAGAACTTGTGTTTGGAATGTTAGCCTATATGTTTCATACACGTACTAGCATATGTACAATATACTTTTATAAAGTTTGCAAGAAGCCTGCAGGGATAATGAGACAAGCTACAGGTACATTTTTTCCCCCATAAACTATTGCTTGGATTACACACATCAATGTTTTTGCAAAGTGTGCACTTTTTTTATCCAACTTTTTGCAACTGAAGTTCATTTGATGACTGTTAAAAACATTTTCTTTGCAGTTTATTGCAAATGTTGTTCTCCTTTGCAGCCCACAGAGCAGAAGATTACTGTCCGACTATAGACAGCTTTTAGTCATGCCTGATATGCTTGATTACCTTCGTGCAGAAATAGATGGCTTGTAAAGTGACGTCATATCGTCACATTTTTTTATCCAGCCAAGTGCTGGCCTACTATATTGATATGTGTACGTACATGTATTTGTTGGGAATCTGAACCACTTGTTTTTACCTTGAATAGGCCTTATATGTATGAAATCAGGTTGGAGGCTATTTCTTCCTCTGGAATACGCTCCAGTAAAGTTTTTTTTTTAGGTTTTTATCGTAACGATATGAAAATAAAAAGCCTCTGAGAAACCAGCAATGCACAACCTCTGTATTTGGAAAGAGATGATTGTAATATTATTCGAAAATACTTTTTTGCTGTTATTTTGTTTGGCTTGGAAGTTTTTATGAGCACTGAGTTAAGTTACATCTTGATGTACTGTATTTTTTTTTTTATGTTTGAATACATACAGCACTCATAACAGTGACACATAAACCAGAACCCTTATAAGTACAGTACATAATTATTGCCAAAACATGAATTTGACTTCAGTCTGTTTAATTTTGATAAAGTTCCCCAGAGCGCATGGGTAGATTTTAGGCTGGTTGGACGACTTTTGTCTCTTCTTTTTTTTATATTGAGATAAAGTTTATTTAAATATTTGGGTCTTAATAGCATCGGTCAAGGTCACTGTTATAAGAATAGAACTGGTTTCAAGGCAGTTACATAAAAACATGTTTGCAGACTTCCATTGGACACTTTGTATCTCTTGCTATAGTACATGTATATATGGCACACCTCTGTGAATTGATCTGCAGTATAACTTCAACTCTGTTTTAGGGGAGTAATTATCAAGCAGTTTAAGTGTTGAAATTGTTCCTAATTGCCCGTTGGCTATTCTAATTAGAAATACGTTTTTTCATTCTTCAACTAAATAGCTGTCTGGACATCAGATTTACATCTATGTGTCATATTTAGGGAGTTTTTGTACTTGTGATAAACTTATTAAAAGGTTTATCATGAGCTTGTTATTCTTGTTTTGTGTTAGACAAGAACCAAAATTAAAGAATTTTGTTGCCTTTTTATGTCTTTTGATATTTAGTACCACATATTTTCACCAGAGAAAATTGAATTCACTCATTTGTAGTGTGTTTGGGAGTCGAGTCCTCAATCTAAGTACAAATACACTGTGATGAGTCCAAGTCCAAAAGCACCCGAGTACATTTAAGCCCAAGTCTGAGTGCACGTACATGAAAAAGCAAGAAGGTAACTAAACAAATGAAATACTTAAGTGAGTAATATAACAATTAAAACACACACCATGCAACAATCACCTTTACCAAATCCTCATCCAGTTTAAGCAGCAATGAAACATATTTTATCCTATTGGAAATATATTTTTAAAACATGGTTTGACTTAATGGATTTGGAACCACTAAGAACAGGCGTGAAACAAGTTTTAAACAGACTAAAACAGTGTGAAAGAAAATTATTATTAAAATATACTTTGTTTATTTACACATGTATTTTTTTCTGCTTTTCTTTGCCAGGCCAGGGGCCCCTTTTTGGCATCCCAGCTGCATATTGTTTCACAGTATGGGCCTGTTGGTTTTACTGTGAATGGTTTTTAAGACGACAATGGGAAGTTTCTCTTGTTAAAAAATTGAACATAACACATTCCAACAATATTATGCAATCCAGTTGTGCTTGGAGAAATTATTTGTAATTGCCAGAAACTATAATGAAAATGTGGGTAAATTTGCTCCAGGTGTTCAGTACAGATGTTTTCCCTCCATCAAAATTGTGTTTAAGTTTTTCTGGTACTGATACCAAGGATTCCTCAAAAGCATCCAAGGCACTGTAGCTTGAAAGCCTTAAGAAACCTCTAAGCTCTAAAATGACAATCTGAGTTAACATACTTCTCAGTTGTTCTGTATTATATTTTACTAAACAAGCAAAATGCATTTATTGAGATGCAGGCCCTTAGTGCCATTAATGTTACGACCCCAATTTTGCCTTGCTATGGAAGCATGTCAGAATCAATGAGAATGTAATTTGATGTATAGAAAAATGAAAATGCACATCCATCATGTACGTCTACTACATCTCATACAGCTGTTGAATGTTTTATTACATTACACTAGTGAGTCGAACTAGAGCTCATCTGTCTGTTTGCCAGCAGAACAGAGGGCTTTTTCACATTCTTTTGTAAATTTGAATTAAATCACTGCACAAACCTGATGGTGTAATTATTTCATCATGACTGATTGGGTTCAGTTTCAACCCAATCAGACAGGCACTTGAAGAAATAAAGTGCTTTAACCCTCCTAGTGTTTTAACCGTCAAAAACAGTAAAAAATGCCTTCCAGTTGATTTCCCCCAGTACACAGACACATATGGGAAATTGGACTGATAGGACAACTGTGTCAAGAATGCACCAAAGCATAGGAGGGTTAAAGAGTGCACCTTTTACTTGACTTCTCATCTGATGACATTATCACATGAGGTCAATTTTCATCTATAACACTTCCCTTTCTGCTCATCTGCAAATTCAACCCAATGGGACATGTACTTCAGGAGATATAGGGCTTTAAAGAGTGCAACTTTAATGTCACGTGACTTGTTCCACAATGACGTCATCACTACAACAGGTCAGTGTTGGTCTAAAGCACTCCCCGTTTCATGTGACCACTTGATGTCACCATCACATCAGGTCAATATTCGACTAAATCACTCCCTTTTTTAGATATCTGCAAGGTTTAAACCCAATTGGACATGTACTCCACAAGATACAGTGTGTTGTAGAGTGCACCTTTAATGTCACGTTATTTGTCATCTCTCGACGTCACTACTATGTACATTAAGTCAGTGATCTTTAACAAACCCCTTCCTACATGTAGTAGCTACCTCCAAGGTTTCAACCCAATCAGATATGTACAGTACAATGTTTTTATCCAGAAAACAGCATGGAATAGGTTTTATTGGATTTAAAACATTTTGGTCTTTTGGCGTTCCATACAAATCTGCACCACATGTGGAATTAGGGAATTTAGGGAATTTTGAAGACTTAAAAGACTTTTTAATCATAACTTCCAGTGTGATGACGTCATCGGCCCCAACTTTCACATGTGTCAACTGGGTACTGATCATCATCAACGTCAATTTTCAGGGGATTCTGACAAACTTTGCCAGACATTTATGCAAGATCCGTTTTCAAAATTTTCAACCGGTCGCTAGAGGGCGCTCGACAATTACGTGACATCATCAGTAGATGTTTTGAAGAATACTATACCCCTACGGCTAACACCAATGAAAACAAGTTAATACCTATTACCACTTTTAAACAATAAGCCCACTTCCAGTTTCGACTGGAAGAAAGGGTCACGTGATTCATGTGAATTTAAAGCAAGTGATTTTCATAAGGATAGTGTGCCGAAATCCACTTAAGTCACAGGCTGACACCAACATACTCTAGTGACGACTCCACCCTGATGCATATACCAACTGATGGTGTAGGATTTTCTTGTGTGCTCATGCATGTTGCACAAATCTTAAAATTCATGTGTGCATTATATAATGGGTTTGCCCTTACCCAACGTATATTAAGTGATACAAAACATGCTGCAAACATGGAAGAGTCTCAGTGATACCGCATGTTGAACTAAAAACAGCCATAGAAAAGGAATTCACAAGCTTGCAAGACCGCCTCTTTGTCCCTCAGCATTACACATACAATAGCAGCTAGAGCTTTGATGAGTAAGCCATACTCTGTACCAGGGACCATTGACACAGTTGGAATCAAATCAGTCAGAAGTCAAGCACAAGTCAGTTTATAAGTCATTTGCAAATCCTGAGTCAGAATGAGAGGTAAACAGTAACAAAGGAATGCTTTTATCACAGCTCATTTAAATGGCATGTGTGTTGACTAAGGACTCAATGACTTATACCTGACTTGCAGTGACTTGTGTTAACTTGTAACTGACTTGATATCAGCCCTAGCCATTGGTATTCATTTACTGTCTGCTCAAACAAAAGGAGCCAACAAGGCAGCATCAGTGATGTCATCCCTAACAAGCATCTGATGTACAACTGTGGGGAGACCTATGCCAGAGGGATATGGCAGAATGTGCATGTCAAGTGTACACACAAGTTCTGTTGCACACCGGTAAGAGCTTCATATAATACAATATAAATTAGGAATGTTATACTTATGTTTTCATAAGATATTAATGAGAAATTTAACGATGCCTGTAGGTGCAAAAGTGTGATTTTCTAAGTTGGTTTAAATTTAGTATTGCAACAATTAAGAAGTCCGTATTTAGCAGAGCTGCGTGGCTGTGATGTGGCACAGATGAGTCTTGTACAAGCAGCATTTAATAGAAAACACTCAAAGTACAATGGAGCTGCATCAATCAACTGCCTTTTTTTTATTAAAAAAGTTCAATTAATTTTAAGTGTGGCAAAGTTGGCTTATTCAGTTTTGTTTTTCCAATGTTTTCCAGTATCGGTAATGAAATTAAACTTTTGTTTCATATTTGTGAAAATGATTTATTATTCTGTTTCTGTAAAATTTTCACTTGAAAACAATGATTGCTCTCCTATTAAAACAAGTTGACAAATACGTTTACAGATGAATACTGTATACATCAAGCTAGCTGGTGTTTGACAAATAATCCCACGGACAAGTTATGCCATGGTAACGTATGATTAATTAAAATATGAAAAAAAAGTAATCTACATGTAATTAACAATAATGTACATGGTGTACATGTGCTTGAAAATACATTATCTTTCAAATAATCCTAGCTGAAATGAATAGATTAGCTACCTTAACTGAAAAACATTAGATCTGTGAATCAGAACAAAGAGTGTATAAATCACATCTGAGGCCCGAGTCAAGAGAACGATAAAAGGTAATTCCGAAAGTTGATCCTGAATAATTTTGTCCTTGTAAACCCTGATTTATAGCCCTTGGTATTATGGTTTACACCACCCTTTGAAGAAATCATCCATCTTTGCATTCATAGAAATGAAAATGTTAGCATTAGCCCTATAACTAGCCCCATAACGAACTAAAACAACTGAAGTGTGTCTTTGTTTCTTATGGTTTGGCACCTGCACATTTTACAATGGCTCCAACTGCACATAGTTTCTTGTTGTCCAGCTCCTGTACACATTTCAAATTTCTCTTTACCTTCACTTCAAAATGTCAACTCAAAAGGAAATGTCAGTGACATAGGGAGGCTTCATTATTTCATTTTGAAAGCCTTGTTTTGAGACCCATTTCTTCGGCCCCAGCCTTGCTGCAGGCTGGTGAGCCCCCATTGTAAAGAACTGGAAAGCGAACTGCTACACCTAAATCTATCAAGTACTGGCTCAGGCACAGGATGTTCCTTAAATAGAGTAGCACAGGCTTAATCAGCCCCTTTGGACCTTGCCCTGGGTCATCATTCACAGCTAATCGGGATTGTGTTTTTGTTCCCAGTCAATAATGAAATTTTTCCACATACATGTACGTGTACAGCGAACAATTATAGCAGACAACAGTCATTTCAATATGGTGGAACCTCGACCAGATTGTCTACGAATAAATGCTGTGAAATATGTGGCCTCCTACTGCTGCTCAGCAAATGTGTAAAAGCTCTCACTTCCCACTCTGATTGCCTTTGGCAGTAATTCCAGTAGGATGATTTATGAAATCAGAAGAGTCAAGGGTTGCATTATCAAAGATTGGAGGAAAGGCCACTCGTTTCGATCAGAATGGGTTTTGCAGCCCGTCATAAAGCAGTGCAAGTTCCAACCTCCAGGGATGATCTACATTCACAGACATGATGAATGACATTCAGGAAATTCAGGCACTGCACATTAAGGGTTACTCAAGATGACAAGGTGAAGAATGCTCACAAATGAACAACTGAGAGCAGTTGTACCCCTCATTCACTTCTTTGATGCTTTGGTGGATCCTTCCTCTACACTGACTAGCATCGGCATGGTGATATAGCTTAGGTCTGCAGAAGTGAATTTTAAAGGCCGACAATGAGTCATTTGGGGAAAGAATGTACCCAAAGACGGTTAGGATGCTGGAATAGTTTTGTGGCCATGACTTCCTGCCAGGGCACTCATCAGGTTATGCAAGCAAACCTCTTGCAACCTACAAATAAGACATAAGTCAAACTGAAGTCAAATCTAAGTGAGATTCATATGATCAGAAATCCTAACAGTAAGTCTAAATGTTCCGCTTGAGACGGGTTGTTTTTCCTTTATTATGATCAGGGAGATGATGTTCTTATTGGACACCACCTGTTAAAGGCAACATGTTTGAAGATATCTGGAAGGTTTAAGCACCTGTGGCGGTCGTCCTCAGCAGACGTCAGTGAGTTGTCTAGTCTGAGGCAGCCAAGGAAGCCAGCCCATTTTGGGGCAGTTTACCGCTAGGTGCAGCAGGAGAGCAGCATAGGCGTGTGCAATGGGGTAGAGGACATCCACCAAATTCCCCGCAAGACTACCACCCCAAGGATGGAGGTGCCCTTTATAAACCATCCCCAGATGATTGATATCAAGTCTAAAGATCCCCCCAGTAAGTCGCTTACTTACGGGTACAGCCTAGTAGTTCTCTGCGACAGACAGTGTGGGAGCAGCACAAGAAAACTGTACAATAACTGAAACTAACCGGGACGGTGCTGGAACTGCTACGGCACATGCAACTGACCAGCTCGGCACGGAATTACACTTATATATCATGCGGGCCACCAGCCACAGCGCACGTTCGGCCCTGCCGACGTCCGACAGGGTGAAAGCCCTGGGCAAACTACGACGGCTCAAAATTAACACACAAACTACTATTGCGCCACACACCTAAGCAAAAGTAATTATCTACTTGGGACATTGGTGATATACAAACACAGCACAGTTTAAGGGGGAAGTAGTGGGTATTACTGGTCCTAAGGTGAGCGTCAGCTTGATGAGGAGGTATTCAAGCTGACCTACACCACGAGACCAGTAAATCCCACAACTTTCCAAAATTAAACAATGCTCAATTTACTTCTTTTACTAAACCTCATAATCATTCACCTTATAAAATGATGGGAATCTAGTAATGTTACTTGAAGACGCCACTGTTGTTACTGAACTGCAGTGTTAATTCCATGTGTCATGTTGCAACAGGGTTGAAATAGTCTGGAGCCAACTCTTTAGTGTGTCTTTACTGCAGTAGATACAAGGATAACAACAGACTTGTTCCGTGAAGATTGCATGCCACACAGTATGAGGCATATCAACAGGGTATTTTTGGTGCTACAAGGAAACAATATTGAACGGCACCAAGCTGGATAACTCACCAGGATGACGTCAACTGGGAGTGTATCATATCTACTTCCTGGACACCCATCGGAATCAGTCAATAACATGCTCCAGTTCATGAATATTCATAAGGCGTAATAAAGAACTGTATTACCTTGATTCAGTTTCATCAAACAGGAGGTTCAGCCTGAAGAAGATTCGAACACTGAAATCAGCCATGTTGGTCACTCTGGAAACTGCAGGACTTCATCATAATTTATCCCGGTGGACTTACACATACATGATATGAAAACGTTTGTTCTCCATCAAATGCACAATTTGCAATATGCACTGCTGAATAATTAATGAATTACCAGGCTGATATACTACTTTCATCTGAGAAACTCTATCATCTAAAAGTTTCATCTACTATTGCCAGACGGCTACACACATTGTAATGGCATCAGATGTCTCTAACTAGCTGTCATACCTTTTAATAAACACTCCCTAGTTGCAGAAGTATATATTTCTGCAGTAGATTAGAAGCTTGTTATGCTCAAATTTTACTGAGCGCAAACTAGCCAATGGAGGATTCCTTTGCTAAGTTTTTCTAAGCAAAAAGCCCCACATTTGAAGGATTATGGCATTTCTTCAGAGGGTGGTGCAAATCAGGGTCAATAATGCAATGAGAGTCTCTCCTCAACCGCCCCACATAATTCCAATACTATTTTCAGAGTTTACAGGAAGTGAGAAAACACCTCTGTATCTTGCAAAAGAACATTCCATAATAATTACAGTTAAAATTAATCCCTTTTTCATGGTCTGCTTTTTTTGTTACAGATTTGGGAACCTTTTTCACTGGTATACAATATATGCTTTGTTAATTGCTTATTAGTATTTAGTTGTAGATATTTTGTCTGAATTAAAAGAAACGCTCAACTCCATCATTTTGGTTTACGAGAATTCATTGATTTCCTTTGCAACTTCTTAAAATTCAGATTTTTCTACTGAAAAAACTGTTACATTATTGCTAAATTTGGACATGCACACTTTTTTTAACATCATTTGTGCACATGTACGTGTACATGCTAACGTCTTAACACATGCAGAAAAATGAATGGTCTTCTTTGGTTCATGATTAAAACAAAGTCAACTTTTGCTCTGAAACTTTTTACATATTGAAATGACCAAGAAACTAAAGACTGAAAAATTATCAACTTTCTAGGTTCTTGTCACTTCATGAAAACACTGACGATATAAAATGGGTGTTGTAATCCATCCAGCCAATCTCAATAGCTTCTCACACTTTGCCTAGTTGTCTCTTGAATGTTTCCAAGAATAATCAGATTTTTCCATGCCCAGATCCTGACAGAATAAAGGTCTTCATTGGGGGCAAAGTATCACAAACTGAGGAGAAACTCTCAACAAATTGTCATAATCAGTCTGCAGTATTCTGTGTGCCTGATACGTCTCTGACAGCTTTTTCTAAACACTGAAGTTTCCTTTTCCGGTCAGCTCCAAAGTTTCTCCACATTCTTTAATACTGCGTGCCCATCGCTTTTATGCATCATGAAAAACCCTTGCACTGCTGCAATGCTGATTGGCCTTTTGAATTCTACAGCACGTACAGCAAACTCCTCTGCTGCAGATACATCAAGTTCTGGGTAGAAGCGATAGAACATCTGACGAAGCTGATGTTGTGTCGCATAGCCAATATGAGCTTTGTAATCTACACGGCCAGGCCTGATTAGTGCTGGATCCAATCTGTATGCAGAAATAAATAAGAATGAAGTGTTAAAAAAAATGCCTACCAAGCTCATGCCTAGAACCCAGGCTTTACTGTTTAACCCCCTGACGACGGGAATTTCTTCTCGAAAGCCAACTCCAAGAATTCCAGCCTCGCCTGGCCACGAAGGCCACCTGCCAAACTGCAAATTCTCGGTTTGTGGCCCTGCGTGCTCTGTGCACTTTGAATTATACAGTGAAAAGGCTGATTGTTCGGTGGCATGCGGCTGTACTCACCCGTCCACATTCCTGTTGCCTCTTTTCAAAGTGGGGACTATTTTGAAGCTGGTGATTATGATGCAAATTCAGTCTTTTCATTTCTGGGCTACACACAAAGACCAATTACCATATATACAAGAGCCAGGGTCTGCCTTCTTTCACCGTGTTTGCTCGAGCGTGGGCCGAGAATAATAGCTGAAAAGAGGATCTCAATTTTTACAGCGTGTCTAGCCGCCTCCCGGCGCAAAGGGTAAACTCTTGTTTCAGACAATACGACTTTACCCTTGACTTTTCAGAGTTCAGGGGTATAGCCTTGTGGAATTACCGAAAACAATGTGGAAGCCATTTCTGAAGTTTGTACACAAATTATTTCTCAAGTTACCGCATTGACAAGTTTTTATTAAGTCACTGTGACCTTTACCTTTGACCTTTTTGGACCCAAATGCCATATGCTTCCTTGGATTACCAAAACCAATAAAAAATTCAAGCTCATATGAGAAGTATTTCTCTGTTATCATACTAAGAAGAATATTTTGGACAGACACACCAGTAAGTGTCTTAGCCTACTGTAACAAGCAGTCAGACTGCTCATATCACTCTGTGCTACGTTTGAGAGTCATTCTATAAATTTGGGGTCCAATGTTTTTGCTTCCCC